TGGTGGCATACACTCCACACAGTAAGACTGTCCCAGCAATGACTCTGCTCTTGGCACCAACTTCTGCTCTATTTCTATTGTTGTGGTAAAATACACTGACCATAAAAAAAGAGAACTTAGAGGAGAAAGGGGTTTATTTCCCCTGAGAAGTCAAGTATCACTGTGAGCTAAAGCAGGAGCTTCACATAGCTCCTCCCATTACATCCCCAGTTAAGAGCAGAGAGAAACAAATGCATACACACTCACTTGCCTGCTTATGCTCAGCTTAATTTCCTCAATTATACAGTTCAGGATCCTCTGCCTAGGAAATGGTGCCACCTACAGTGGGCTGGGTCTTCCCACATCAATTAACTTCTTAGGGCAATCGCTATGGACATGACCATAGGTCAACTCAATGAAGACAGTTCCTCATCGAGGTCTTCTTCCCGGGTTGTTTTAGGTTGTGTAGAACTAATGATTAAAACTAACCATTATGGGGAGGTTCTAGAAACTTCAGGACGTAGGACCTGGCTACCATAAGCAGGTCACTGGAGGCAGGTCCTTAGTGGTTAATTATGCCTAGTTCTCTTTTGTCAAACTCTCCACGCTTCCTGAACACTGTGATGTTAACTTCCCTGTTCTGTGGTACCCACCCTGACATGACTGTCCTTCATTTGAAACCATGAGCCCAAACGACTCTTTCCTCTTTCAAGTTGACATCTAAATGTACTGTGCTCACAGAAACAAAAAAAAAGTAATATATTAACCCAGCCAGATCATAGATAATACTGTAACAACTATCAGTGTCCAGGGTGCCAAGTCCATGTTCCATACCGCCTGGCCCTAAGCAGGAGAACTTTCACACCAGGCAGCCCACAAAAGGAGTAATTACACAGTGCCTCTGAAATTTGTCTTCCCCAAGATCCAATCTGCAGCCTGGTGAACCAGCTCTTGCCAGCTGCTGTTCAGACCCTGCCTGTCTGCTCTAAACCCAGAGCACATCTTCGCTGTCATGCCCAGAGCCCCAGGATGCTTGCAATAAAGCAGGAAGAGACATAGCTCAGTGTTCACCTTGGCAAAATAAATAAATAAATAAAAAGAATGACTCTTCCATCAGAAAAATAAATGGCCCCTCTGCAGCCAGAGAGTCTGGATTACCATCCTGAAGGACAAACACATCATCTTCACCAGTCAGCCTCAGGTCATAAAGCGACGGTTTCTCTCAGCCAGGGACCCCCCCAACCTGCACTTGGAGGGTAGTTACAACTCCTGCCAGCGCCTGCATCCACTAAAAAGGTACACTCAGGTCCAGTTCAGGATGCCCAGGCCTGGTGTAAACAGCAGTACAGTTGTTTGTTTTATAGCCTGCCCAAGAATGGGGAGGGCATCTCAGCAAAGAGCCTATATAGGAGGCAGCAGGGCACAAGGGCCCAAATCCAGCCAGCAGTCTTCAGGGCCATAAAGAGTTGCTGTAGCAGAGCCCAGATTGACTGCAAGAAAGTTTCTGCTTGCTTCAAATCCCCTAGAAGTCATCTCCTAATTATTATGGGAATAGTTATGAGGAAGAAAGGGGAACCAGATCCCTAGAGCTGGGGGTAAGGGCTGTGAGCTGCTCGGTATTGGTGCTTACAAAGTTGAAGCCGTAGACGACTTCCAAAGTTCACCAGAGTAGTAATCACAAACTCACAAATGCTTCAAAGGTCACCTAAAATGGGGCTGGGGACGTAGCTCAGTCACTGAAGTGCTTGTCTTAGGAGCATGACAATATGATGTGATCCTCAAAATCAAGTAAAAAAAAGAAGGAAGAAAGAGAGAGAGAGAGACAGAGAGAGAGAGGATATGGTGGCATGTACTTGTGAAAGAGACAGAGACAGGAGGACCCTGGCACTCCCTGGCAGGCCAGTCAGTCTACTTGATGAGTTTTCGCCAATGAGAGACCGGGTCTTGAGTAAACAAGGTGGCTATATCCTGAGCAGCATCACTTAAAGTTGTCTTCTGGCTTTTGTGTGCACATGCATACACACGCAGAAACACCCCCAAAATGCACACGTGTATACACACACACACACACACACATATATATATATGAGATTATGTACAGTTAAGTCCTTTGTTTAAACAGCTGTAATAACAAAATATCTGTGGCTGGAGAGCATTTTCTGGTGTTGCAGAGGACCCAAGTTAGTTATCAGCACAAAATCCTGTGTAACTCACTGACAACTTGTACCTCCAGCTCTGGAGATTTGGCACCCTCTTCTGGCCTCCACAGGTACCTGTACACACATGTGCGTACACACACACACACACACATATGCACGCACAGGTACAGGCACACACACACAGAGGCACACACACACGGGGGAGGCTGGGGGAGCATAAATCTTAAAAGATAAAATGCACTGACACATGTGCATACTCACAGGTACTAGACAGCAAGGCGGCGGCAGCTTCTACGAACCTTCTTAACCAGTTGTGGTAAAATTATCCACACTCTCCATTCTCTGTGCAAAGCCTTCAGATAAACTACTGAACACGCACCTCTAGTTAGGTGGATTTTTCATCACACCAATACATCTGCTTCAGCCTCCATCAATTAACCAAGAATTAGTTGTGTTTGTATACTTGCAATAGTTACAGTTAATTAAATACAACATAGGCCAATGAGATGGTGAGCATGAACAGAGATGAACAGAGTGTTGGGTCTACAAAAATCTAGTCAAGTAATTAGATCCAAAGGTAGTTACAAGACAAAAGCTTGTTAAGTATCAGTAAATTAGCTGTGAAAAGGGGCATAGGGTGGTGAAATCACACACCTCTAATGAGTCATACACTCAGGCTCCTTTACAACTATTTTTACTTTATAAAATGAAATAAAAAATTTTAATGTAACAAAAGAGAAGGGGAGAAAAATTTAAAGAGTGAGATATCAGGGAGCATTTTAGAATCAAATCACCACAGGGTCCTACAAAAAATAAAGGCAAAAATCTCCCCCAGGCCCACGCATCATACCATTCCAGCCATAAACTTACAAGAATGGGGTAAAGCTCAGGCTTCTCTTTATCTTCGAATACACCTCCTACATTCTTAATGTTTGTTTCCCCAGAGTTCCTACAAGGAGACCAAATTACCTGCATAACGAGGTGGGGTCTTTGGGTAAGGTTATCAAAAGGATAAAACCTCATAGATGGCATCAGTGTTCCCTGAAAAGAGGCCCAGGGCATTCACTCCTCCTTTTGACCATGGAGGACACATGGACATCACTGTAATATTATACACCCAGCCTGCCAAGCTTTAGGAAATAACTTGCTATCATCTACAGGTCAACCTGACTGTGGCGTTTGGTTACAGCAGTTTCGAAAAGACTAAGACACCATCCAATCGTGGAGCCATCCCGCTGCGGTTACAAACCCAGGCTTGCACGGGAGACCGCGGGGTTCTCTGCCTGCTTTCTTTCACCAATGGAAGGTGAAAAGGTCCCAAGGTAAGACTCACCTCCTAGGCCAACAGCCTCTGTTCAGAGATCATACGGAAAGCAGGTGCTGTTGGGGGCGGGGGTGGGGGCTGAGTGTGTTGGTGCCGGTGTGTACGCGTCTTCCTCTTCCTCCCCTCTCCTCGGTCTGTTTCACTCTGCAATATTGAGACTCAAACCCAGAGCCTTCTGCACAGTGCACAACAGCACTACCATGAGCTACATCCTTACAATGCCCACTTTGCCCCCACATTTCCTAGCATCACCATGGATGCAGCCCACAAGTCCCTGCGGCTTCACTGGTCATCTGCGTGAAAACCAGGCACTGCAATAAGCATGCAGACAAGATGGGTAGCAGGACAACCCAGCCATGGCCTGTCATCTTTACACCCCTCACCTCCTGCACATACCTACTCAAGCAACTGTGGCTGTGCTGACCCAAGAAAGTGCTAGTGAGAAATTCAGCTCACTAATAGACACATATAAAACACCACGGATCTGAACCTGACACTTAGAAGCAAAGACATGGTTCACCTGGAGTAGTTGCAACTTCTCTGCAGTCAAAGCAAAACTCAAGTGTGTTTGGGAAGATGGCATTGCTGGAGCAGAGTGTTAAGAAGCCACTGGGAAACTGATTCTGGTTTGGCCTCGGCAGACGTCATCAAATGAATCAAGCTCACTCTCCAACTTAGAACAAAGTCCTTACTCCCTTTGTTTTTAATGTTGTTGCTGTTGCTGTTGTTTTAAATAAGACTGTGGGCTTATCCAGAACACAACGGGACACCATCCTAAGATGAATTTGGGCACTGTATTGCCAGCGTTAATTTCCATCCTAAACCCTTGTCCTGGGCACTCAGGGATGTGCTGTGTCACACGAGAACAGAGGCAATTAAGATAATTGCTGCCTGTTCCCACCTAGATGAAGCTTCCAGATGATTCTTATTTGGGCAGTGCTCAAAGTACCATGGCCCCAAGTCAAGAGACAGCAATAAGCAGGGCTTAAGCCTCCCCTGCAGATGGACTCCACTATAAATGACAATAAAAACAACAGGGTAATTCTGGTTATCAAGACCTTGCCAACTATATACACAGTATATCTTCTGTCTGGTTGCTTTGAGACAGTACCTCATTATGTAGGCTACACTGACCTTGACCTCCACTATGTAGTCCTGGCTAGTCAACTCTCCATTCCCCTGCCTCAGCTGAGTGCTGGCAAGCGCATGCCATCCCAAGAGGATTCCAACAATAGATTTTAAGAAAAAAATTAATCTATCGCCCAATCAGTAGCCAAGGTGACCACATTCATCATAGATGTTTTTCAGGCCACAAGGTCCATCCTACACAAAGAAGTCAGTTAGACAAAAGGTTGTCTGAATTTTTCTCCCATCCCTCCACACTGAGCCCCAACTGCCAAAGTCAAGCCCTCTTAGCTTGCCAATGTGCAAAATGGTTTCCCAACAGTCAGAGGACTTTCCCAACACCCCATACAGCTTCCCAATGATCCAAAATGGCTTCGGGGAGGGGGATAAGCTCCCAGCAGGCAGCTCCTTACCATCCAGTTCTTCCACAGAGATATTAGCCAACTGTTCGCTGTCACTGCCTGCAGACAGAGATCGGTTGAGGTAATTCCCCTTGTACAACAAGCCAGCGGTTACATGGTGGAACGGCATCTTTTCCCTGTTCCAAAGAGAATAGGAGAGAAGGAAAGACATCACCATTCATTCACTTAGAGGATTGTCTCTGTTTTGCAGATGGCGAAATTACATAGCCAGGGAAGGTATGACGGCTCAGTGGGGACGGGTTGCTTCCAGGCCTGACAACCTGAGTGTGATCCCTGGGAATCACATGGTGAAAGGAGAGAACCAAGTCCTCCAAGCTCCCTCTGACCTTCACACAACACACAACACACACACACACACACACACACACACACACACACACACACCACCACCACCACCACCACCACCACCACCACCACCACACATACTAGAAGATCAATTTAGAATATTTACAGGGCCCCCATAGCCCCATAGGATCTTAAGTCTCCTTCATCCCAATTTAACATCTCCATTTCTCCAGTTTCATAGGCATTTAAACTGCAATGCCCTTGTAAACCACGGAAAAAGCATGATAGATATCAAACCACTTCTTTCTACTTTTGTTTTGTTCTTTGTCTTTTGTTTGCTTATTTCACTTTCTGTTTTTGCAGTATGGCAGAAATACCTCGACAAGCACTGCACAGTCGAGTTACATCTCTGGTCTACCAGTTCTTTTTCTCGTGAGATGGAGCCTTGCTAATTTGCCCAGGTTGGCCTAAAACTCACTCCATAGCCTAGGCTGCACTTGGACGCAGCATGTAGCTTGGCCCGGCCTTCATCTTGCAGCCAGTCTTACCTCAGCCCCCTGAGGAGCTGGGACCACACCCCCCACACCATCAAATCCAGCATCACTGTGCACCACATAAACAAAACCGCCCCTCGCTCTTCTTCCGGACCTCAAATATTATCACTCCAAAAAGGAAAAACCCGAGCATCCCAGAAATGCTGGCCTACCCAGCAACAGGGCGTCTTGGCTACGCTCATGCAAAGCTGTAAGTAGGTCGCATTCCTCAGGGAAAGTGGGTGTTCCAGCCATACAGCACTCGAGGAAGGGAAGAAACATACAAAATCTTTAGTTTTTCTAATCGAGAGTTTAGGGGGCTGGGAAGATGGCTCAATGGGAATGAAACTTCCTAAGTGAGCAAGTATGAGGACCTGAGTCCAAATCCCCAGCATCCACGTGAAAATCTGAGTACACCCGTGTGGTGTGTGTGTGTATGCCTGTAACTTCAGTGCTGGGGGGGTTGGGGATGGAGACAAAAGAAGAGCAGAGCTTGCTGCCTGCCACCCTGGTTCCAGGTCCAGTAAGAGACCCTGTCTGGAGAGAATATGGTAATAAATGATAGAGATAAACACCTAGTGTCCTCCTCCGGCCTCTTCATGGACATGTACACACAGACGCATGTGTACCTTCTCACACATGTGTATACACGACACACATACAAACCAAGGGAAAAACCTGAGCTTGCAAGCTTACCCCATACTCTCTGCACAGCCCAGGCTGGGTTACCATACTCAGCTCTAAGTTTTTACATCTCTGTGCATGCAGGGGTGTGCAAGTCTGAGATGCAGCCCCCCAAGCCTAATTGGGGTACGGAGGCTACTTTCAGAAATGGCTTCCCAGGAAGAAAAGGGACACCCCAAGGTGTCCCAGAATGAAGAGATTTGGGGCACTCTCAGTGAAATTAAAGCACCCTCAGGGCCAGATTCTCAAGCCACCCAGCCAAATTTCCTGCCATTGCTGGGGCATAGCAGGTCTCCCAGAACAGGGGGACAGCTCCGTGGTTAGAGCACTCACCTGGCCAACACGAGGAACTCAGGTTGATCCCCAGAATCCACACACAAAAAGAGCCAGATGTACTGGTGTGTACTGCTAATCCCAAAACTGGAGAGGTGGATCCCTTGAGATCTCTATTCTGCCTGTCTAGATTATTTAGTAAGTGACGGGGCACTAAGAGAGACTCTGCCTCAAAAGACAAGATGGGTGGCTCCTGAGGTACAAAACTCAAGGTTTTCCTCTGGTGTGTACACACACACACACACACACACACACACACACACACACACACACACACACGAAGGTCTCCTCCCATATACAGGCCTACGTCAAGGTGTTTATTTAGATTGAGCAGTGGGAGGGGTAGCCTCCTCCCAGCACAGGCTGAAGGCCTTGGTCCCACAGGAGAGGAATGCCTTCCCACACATCTGCTACTATCTGGGTAAGTAAACTGCAGTCTTTTTTGCCACTAAAGCCTACATCTGTGCAGTTGACCTCCGGGTCCTCTGTGAAGCACACATACAAGAAAAACCAAACAGACAGCTCAGTGTTAGCCCCTGAGAATCACTGTCCACAGCACTCTGGCCTTACTCGTTTGAAAAAGGAGGAGAGGCATGTTATCAGAGAGGCTAAGGTACGAAGCAGGAGAATCACCAGTTTGAAGTCAGCCACGAAGCAAATTTAAGACTAACCTGGGCTACATAGTGAAATAAAGATTAAAGAGAGGAGGAAGCAGAAAAAGAAAGGGGGGAGAAGCAGAAGAAAAGGATAGAGAAGGAAGAAGAGGAAAAAGAAGAAGAGGAGGGCAGGAAGGAAGGTGAGGAAAAGGAAGAGGAGGGAAAACAGGAAAGGAGGAGGAGGAAACAGTTAGAGGAGGGGGAGGGAAGGAAAAGACTAGAAAAAAAGAGCAACCTCCCCTGGCCTTAGCTCGTGAGCACTGTCCAGCACCAGGGACCAGTCTCCTGTGTCTTTTCCCTCTAACACGACTAAGTGACAGACCCAGCCAGACAGCCTCCCTGCTTCAAGTCTAAGACACGCCAGAGAGGCTGCTGCTTAGCCTCGGAGCTGCTGTAGAGTCAAACAATGAAATCCTAAGAGGAAGACTTGACCAGAGCACAAAGCCACTTAGAGGAAAAAAAAGAAAACAGTTCTGCAACCCAGGCACCCAGGAGTTATTTAGATTCTGCGGCCCCAGCTAAGCACCAGGCACTTCCATCCGGATGTCAAACCCTCCTTTCAAATTCAAAAATGTCTAAAAATGAATTAATCATCTTCCCACAAAATAGGTTGCACTTCCTGACTTCTCTATTTCTATCAGAGGTTCACTCATCACAGCAACTGGGACAGCCCTCACCAAAGCTCTGGGTCCCAAAAAGTAAAACAGACATATGGCCAGGCAGGAGCCAACTGTCAGTCTCCCTTCGCTCCGCACGTCACCAACAAAATGCATACCCGTAGGAAGACTGCAAATGGCAGGTCGCTGGTTGCAATCTCAGGATAAGTAGGTAGAGTTGTTGCCAAGCAAGGATGCAGATCTGAGTTCAACCCTTCCAGTGCACAGGAGAAACGCCAGGCGTGGCAGGCGGCACATGCCTGCAATCCCAAAGCTGGAGAGACCAAGCCAGGAGGATCCCTGAGGCTTGCTGCCCAAGCCTGCCTGGCTGAATCAGTAAGCGCCAGGCAAGTGAGAGACCCCGTCTCAATGACATCTGAGATGGACTTCGAGCTTCCATATACACACATAGAAGCGCGTGCACGCCCATACATTTACACCCACACACAGGTAGGTGTTTGCAAACACATGGAGCTCAGTTGAAGAGGGGGAGGAGGGATCATATGGACAAGGGATGTCAATAGCATGATGGGGAAAACCACAGAGACACCTGACCCAAGCTAGTGGGAGCTCATGGACTCTGAGACTGACAGTTGGGGAACCTGCATGGGACCCAACTAGGCCCTCTGAATGTGGGTGACCGTTATGTGACTTGGTCTGTTGGGGAGGCTCCTGGCAGTGGAACAAGAACCTATCCAGGGTGCACGAGCCGGCTTTTTGGGGCCCATTCCCTATGGAGGGATGCCTTGCTCAGCCTTGATGCAGTGGGGAGAGGCTTGGTCCTGCCTCAACTTCGGTTGCCAGACTTTGTTGACTCCCCAAGGAAGGCCTTACCCCCTCTGAGAAGAGGATGGATGGGTGTGAAGGGAGGAGGAGGGGGGAGGAGAGGAAGGGGGAACTGGGGTTGGTATGTAAAGTGAAAAAAAAATGTAAAGAAAAATGGTCACACATAATTAGTCAAATTTAAAAATTAATGGCAGGACACTAATACAAAGAATATGCTTTCAATGATTGTCAGGGATACATCTTCAACTAATCATGTCAGACTTCTACAAATCTAACTATATAATGTAGGGTTACAGCAATTTTCTTCAGGCGTGACATGAGCATTGGCCGTCACAGAGCAGGGGCTGCTGTGATACCGACATGATGCATGGCCCATAGTCAGTCTCTGGGCCAGTAAATTTTTAAAAAGTGGTAGATAAGGTAATGGTAATAGGAGGACTAGTGTAAAGAGAGGAAGGCTAGCCATAGGACCCTCCGTTGGAGCTCTAACCATTATTCCTTACAGCACCCCAGCTGCACATAGTCTTGGGAAATGCCGGGGTATAAAAGAGAGGGAAAGTAACTGAAAGAGACACTCCAAGAGGTTTGTCACCCTGGTGGGTGGGACCTGGAGGTGATGCAGCTATTTCTGAGTCACCCACATTTCTATTAAGTAAATCCCATCTCTGCTCCTGTAAGCAACTCCAATAAACTCATTGGCTCACAAGCTGGGCTTGCATTGTAATCATTACTCTCATATGTCATCATGCCGAATCTAGAGCAAATGGACATTTGTTCATTTCTCCCCAGGGAAAGTCACGTAGCACACATAAAAGTAAGACAAGAACCCTTTCCTTGGAAAATAACATCAATTACATTCTTTTCTGTTCTCCAAGTTAATTTTCAGAACAATGGGGAGTCACAGAGAGAACCAGATGTATGCATTAGGATGGTGCAGAAATGAAGCCCAGACCTGACTCTTGGAGTTATGTGCCGCGGTCACTGGAGTATGGGCTAACCTGCATCTCACAGGCCATGTGTAGTTCAGGACAACAGTCCATCACAAAATTATAGAGTTACCTAAAACATTACAAAATGTCCAAGTGTTACCTGACTGTGCAGTTCTCAAGTGTGAACTTGGTAGATGGCCATGTAGCAATGCCACACTTGGATACATTCTGGACACACTTGCAAGGAGAAGAGA